GTGTACTAAAAATATGTAGTCTTTACTTTTCAATGTTGGTGGAGTGGGAAAGTCGTATAGAAGAAGAATGATATATTTATCATTTGTGTATGTTATACGTGAATTTGATTATGAAATTTCGCGTCTTTTGTTAACTTTCGCAAGGTGCCAAGCAAAACAGGTGCTAAAAATCGACATATATTCAGACCCTACAGTCCACAACTTTAATCTTCATACGTGTTATTACGTGTGTGTTCATGCTGATCAAGAATATATATATATATATAATGGGGGCGCTTTTTCTTTTGCTTGTGACACACAAATTCCCAACTTGCTGATACCCCCCTTTCGGACATTATTAATGGGTATGGATACAATGTTTTGAGGAGCTTTGCGCCAACAGTTTGAGCAGCACAGCGTGCTGTCAGTGCCGCCCAAACTGTGCGGTATTTGAACGTACTTGGGCTAGAGAGCGTTAGAATTATATTCAACTAACGTCAGCCGGGGTATCAGATGTATATCATATTTCTATTACGCGAATGCTGACGCCAGCTCCGTCTTTCTATTATAACATCCGTTCGTCCGTCTGTCCGGCTGTCTGGCCAAAACAAATGCGGCCAATTTCTAGATAAGTTTCGCCCAGTCATTTCACAGTCGCTATCTCTCTCTCTGGGCCCTCAATGCCGGCTAAATGCGTCTTATCAAGTCGCCAAATGTCTACAGTTGCACAAGCACTGTGGAGTCGCACTGCAATTTTTGCTTGAGCCATGCGGCGTGTTGCATAACGCAGCTGCTGGCGCTTACATAACACCAGAGCCGGAGAAAAATACAAAACAAGGTCAAAAGTTCAAGGACTTGACGGAAAAAAGCTCACTTGTTCTGCGTCTGCGCGCAGCAAGCGGAAGTATTTACAAACTGTATGTGTGTGCGTTCGTCTATGTGTGCGTGCGTTTATGTGGGCGTGCGTCTATGTGTGCGTGCGGTGTGTTTGCGTGCGTCTATGTGTGCGTACGTGCGCTGGGTGCGACTTTTGTTGATGTTTTGATTGTGTAACAGCTGCTGCTGGCGCCCTGAAGTAGGCAATCAAATATATATTGTATATATTGAAACGCCTGTCACAGCTTTCTTGGCAAGCGGGCGCAGCGTAGGCGTGGCTTTTCTCTCATATTTATTATCTAGCACGGCCATAACTTTACCTCATGCGGGTTATTAAAGCTATTATCCGCCTTAGTTTATGTATGTTTATTGTTTTGATCGGGAATGTTGGATAGGTATGCAAATGGCGAATCGGACTTACCCTTATGAGATGGAAGCTAGTGTCTCTAGAGTCCCTTGATGGAGTTCTCGGTAGATGAGTTGAGCCCTAGACTAATGTATTGATAAAGTTTAGCCAAAGACTATAGATCGGACTTATCTTTATCAGATGGAAGCTGGAGTCTCTAGAGTTCCTTGACACAGTCCTCGCTAGATGAGTTGTATCCGACTAGTTTACGGATATAGTTATGTATTAGCCAAGGACTATATATATGTGCATCAGCACAATGGGAAATCGGACTTATCTTAATCACATGGAATCTAGAGTCCTTTGACGCAGTCCTCGCTAGATGAGTTGAGCCCTAGACTAATGTATGGATAAAGTTTAGCCAAAGACTATAGATCGGACTTATCTTAATCAGATGGAAGCTAGAGTCCCTTGACGAAGTCCTAGCTAGATGAGTTGAATCCGACTAGTTTACGGATATTAGCCATAGACTATATATATGTGCATCAGCACAATGGGAAATCGGACTTATCTTTATCAGATGAAAGCTAGAGTCTCTAGAGTCCCTTGACGCAGTCCTCGGTAGATGAGTTGAGCGCTCGACTAGTGTATGGATATAGTTTTGTATTAGCCAAGGACTATATATATTTTTGTGTGCAATCGGACTTACCTTTATCAGATGGTGGAGGAGCAAAGAGAGCTCCTAACAGACTAAGGAGCCTTTCAAGCAGGTGCTCAAAGGCTCACTTACAATAATAATACTCGACGCAGTCCTCGATGAGTCCTAGACTAGCCTATGGATCGAGTACTCTGTTAGATGAAGATTATAGTAGTCTGTGCTTTTAAAGAAAGTAAAGTCGATCTACTATAACAATTAAATGATTTTGTGAACAAATAGGTATCTCCACTAGCAGCAGGCATTATATAATCCAGCATCTTCAACTTCCTCACCATCCATAACCCGATATAGCCTCCAAGTTTATACTCCTCTGCTGAAAGCAGCTGCAATTAATTCTTATCAATTTTTTCATTATTGGCAATAACTAAAATTGACTTCGATTCGTTAATTGCCTTATGCATATGCCTTTGATATTTTTTAACTGCGAATTTCATATTGCATAGAAAATTATATATAAATTTTATTATTTTATAGATTCCATATGTTCTTTAAGCAAAAATCTGGATAACTTTTTGAACGTTGTTTATTGATTTTTATTAGATTTTTCTTTTAATACATTTCCATTGCTACGGTCAAATTTGTTTGTTTGTTTTTCTTTAATAATTTGTTTTTCTTGTGTAACTTGCTTAAATTTATGATATTGCATATGCCACAAAATTGCTGTTATCATTTTTGTTGGCTTTTTTCAAAGAAGCGCACAATTCTTTGCACAACTGAAAAAAAAGGCTAGCAAATAAAATAATGCATTTCTTTTTGTTTTTAAAGTTATTGAAATAGTTAAAATAATTGCATGCCCAATTAGCATAGATATTTGTTTTGGGTTTCGTTTCTCGCAGATTTTTCCAGTTGTTGCTTTCTTCTGCTCAAACACTTCATTTTTCACATTCATTTTTCAAGTTTTCACATTCATTTCTAAAAAGTTTTCCTATAGCTTGTGCTCATTTTAATTGTTTTCTATCTTTCTAAGTTCATTCGCTAAGTTAACTAATTTTGCATATTTTATATAAACTTAGAACCAGCGACTTTCTTCTTTTTTTTTGGCCGTTCTGCTTTCTACTTGTTCTTAAACGTTTTCACTTACTGAATTTGTATTTCCTTTTGTTTTGTGTTGTTTGTTTATTTTGTTTTGCAAAAGTTTTGTTGTTAACCTTTGGTTGGTCGCATATGTTTCGCATTGGCTTTGTGTACTTTAAGTTCTCCCCTGCTTCTTACTCTTCTCCCTTTTGTTGTTGTTGTTTTTCGTGTTATTTTGTTGTTGTTGCCTTTTTGTTATCACAGCTTTCTTCTATACACTTGTGCTCTTATGTTATCTTTAAGCATAACTTGCATATATATAAATTTGTTGTTGTTCTTAATGCACGGCTGTTGCTTCTTCTTCTTCTTGTTGTTGTTTTTTTACTTCTATTCTAACATGCCTCCTGTTCCTTTAACTTCCTTCTCTTGCTGTTCTTTAGCTGCTGTTGTTGTTTTTCTTTCTTTTTCTAATACATACGTTAGCTTAATTTGTGTATGGAATGATTTACAAAAAGTTGTTGTTTTCCTTTCGAAATTTTAAATACAATAAATGGCATATAAAATATAGACTTATTCTGTTTTTGTTGTGTTCTTTTTGTATACAAAATAAAACGTTACTCATACGCAGCGTTGGAAGTGTTTGCATTTCGCGTGAATAAATTGTAATACTTGAATGGATTTGTTAAACAATAAAGAAGGTCTGCAAATTTGTAGCTACAATTATTGACTTTTGCTAGGTAGCATATTTAAAAGAATTTTCTTTAAGGGAATAGCTTGGAACAGTTGCGTTTTTGTTTATAGATTCATGTGTTTTCTTTGGTGCTGTTGTTGTTCTTGTTGTTTTGTTGTTGTTATTGGAAGCAGCATGACACGTTTATCACATTTAGTTGTTGTTGTTGTTGTTGGTATGTACTAGGCTTAACTAAATTATATTGTGGTTGTTGTTGTTGTACATACACACACACACACATTGACGATTGCTTCATATTACACATGATTTGCACTCATTTGTATCGTTTTTATAAATTAATATTCGCTATTGAAGTTTATAACAAAAATACATGCATAGCTTTTAGTTTTTGTAAGTTATATATGTACATATATATATATATAACACATATGGTTGGATAGTGTTCGGTGTTGTCTTTGAGATCGCATTTGTTTAATCTGTTGTTGTTGTTGTTGCTGCTGCTGCATTTTTGGTACTTTTTGGACAATTGCCCCTCGGCTGGCTTTGACGCTGAGCTTTGCAACGCCTTTGTTCAGTCTTTCGTTTATTTCATTTAATAGATTTGTATTTATGTATTTTTTTTTAGCTTAGTTTGAGCAAAGTTCTTTGTGAGTTGTTCGCGTAAATGCTCAAAGTGATCTTCAGGTACCATTTATGTTTATATATTTTTTGCCTAGCTGCTCAGCTGCTGGTGCTTTTGTGCCCAGTGGCAATTGTCCTGGCAACAGTTTTGTTTGTACACTAACTGCGCTGCATTTTGTTTGTTTGTTTGTTTTTGTGCAAACATAAGTAAACTATATTAGTTGTTATTGTATAAATGAATGCCTGTTGCTACGATAATACAAAATACTCAAGTGTTACGATTGATTGAATCGGTTTTTAACGGTTTTTGAATTGGTTTTGCTTTCAATTCTGGCTAACGCATGTCTCGCTTAACAAGTCGACAACACACGCCATTTAACTGGACTGTCACACAGATACACATATGTCTTATATTATTAAATATGTATATACAGAGACGTGTGTTGTTTACAATATGCTTTTGTTGCTTTACATAAGCTGCTAATATCACTTTGGAAAACTACACAAATGGCGGCGCTTGGCCAACGAAACGACCATCGGATCGGATTGTTTTGCGATCTGTTGGCTGTTGTTGTTACATTTGTTGTGTTTGGTTGTTGTTCTATCACAATTTAAGCGCCAACTTTACATTACATATTCTCATATTACAAAAGTTAACAATTTTTTTTTTTTTTTTGCCAATTGATTGAGCTTACAATTTGTCATTGGTCTTTTTTTTGTGTGTGTTTTCTTGGTTTACAATCATTTTTTAACACTTTTTTTTTGTTTTTCTTAAATGTTTTTTTTAATATTTTACTTAGCTAACTAGACAATTTGCTTAACAATTGGTTGTTGTTGTTGTTGCTGCCGCTGCTGTACCTGGCTTTACTTTTGCTTGCTTGCATTTTGTTTTTAAATCACAGTTGTTGTTGCTTATAAAATGATGTTTATCTTCCCTCATTCCCTCACTCACTACCTATCTTAGTTTTCGTCGCTGTTTGTTGTTTTACATGTTTTTTGTAACAACAAACTGCCCGTTATATTTGTTGGTTTTTGTTTACAATTCGTTTTCATTCTTTCATTTGCATTTGAAGTGCTCAAGTCTTTTATGCCGTTTGTTGCTTTCATTTTTGCTGTGTGGCCGAACAAAATTTAATTTTAAGTTTTACATAGTTTAACATACGAAAGAAAATTGTAAGTTGTATAAAGGCTTGCCAATTTTTTATAACTGTTTACGGTTCTTGTATTATCTATCAAAAATCGTTTTATTTAACTTAACAGAAAAGTCAATTGATCGCTTTTCATTTTAGGGTTTGCTTGTTTTGTTTGTTTGTTTTTTAGTTGCCTACGTAAAAGTTTACTAAACGCTACAAATTTCTATGCGCTCGATTTGATCACGTGTCATGTTGTATTATATTGTGAGTCGTGTTGTTGTTGTTGTTGCTGCATGCATGACGTTGCTTTATTCGATTTTTGGTTGATTTGTGCTTTAATGGCTCAGATCCTTTCGCATTAATTCAAAAACGTACTTATCGCGCACATCATAATCCACAGGGCCATAGCCTTCGCTTGGCAACTGCTCCGGCTCAACTGGCCTCCATTGTTGGCCCAACAACGAGCACATTTCCTGCAAATAATCAGTCAGACTGGTGAACATAGGTGTAAATCTCAGCCACTCACCTGATTAAAAACGGGCTGCGCTGCGACGTTGGGCTCCCAGTCGATTTGAGATACTTCTAGACGACGCAGCTGGCGACCACGCAGGCGTGCAATGCCAAGCAGATTGTGCGGATCCATGGTGTAGCCGTGCACGACAATCTCCTCGAGCTGTTTGCAGCGCCAGGACAACATGACAAACGGGTCCTGAAGCCTGGTCTGACGCATGTAATCAATGCGATTGGAATGCTTGCTCACCGAATCTATGTAATAGATGCTGCGCAGCGTGTCGCTATTGTGCACGGACATCCAGTCGAGCGCCTCTTCGTTCATGAACTCACAGAAGAGCATCCGTATGTGCGTCACGGGCATGTGGCGGCGCAGTATGCGCAATTCCAGTTGCTCAACAGCCTCATAGGCATAGACGAGCGTCAGCACCAGTTCAATGTCCGTGAAATGCGTGGAGAAGTTGGACCAGGCAGCCTCCGAGACATCAGCATGCTCCTCCTGATCGAGGCCATGCACCACAATTAACAGCTTACGCAGCGGCAGCACCTGTATGGTGTGCAGCAGCTCATCGTTGAGCGTGTCATAGTCCAGCGAAAGCACTTGCAGTGCGGCACATTTTTGCAGCAGCGTGGTGTCCAGCCCGAGTATGGGATAGTGACTAGGATCGTATTTAATGCTGGACAGCGTCAACTGCAGCAGCTCTTGCGGCTTGCCCATGGCCTTGAGAAAATCCTGACCATAATAGGTAAGCGCTTCAATGGCACCCAAATCCAATACCTGACACGCCTGATTCTTGCGGCCCAAAATCAACTTCAGTGGCTCCACAAAGCACCTGAAATGGGAGAAAAGAAGGGGGCTTTAGCATAGATTAAGAATTATTTTAGTTATTTCTCCTACTGTTCTATGGCGACGAGGTGCTCGCTGTGCATATTCCCGGCAGCCACAAGACCCACATTGTTGGTTTGGAAACGCAAGGCCCGGATATTATCACAGCGCGCCGCTCTAAGAAAATCAATTAGAATATTAGCTTTGGTTAAATATACTGTATATTGGTTAGCACTTACTTGTAGAGCAGCCGCCGCATTTTTTGTATGTGAAAGGCATTGTGAAAATCGAAGACTATGACCAGCTCCTTGGCCAGATTGGCCATGCTGAGATGAAAGAACGACAGTTGGTCATCCTGGGCCACGTCAATGTGAAAGCGAAAGTTTTTAAAATAGCTGTTGTCGCAGCGAAAGTAGAAATATAAAAAGAAACAACTATTAACAAAAACCGTTTCCACGTTGTCCGTCATGTACACTGAGCTAAATAAGTATATAGCCAGTTGTTGACGATATCACAATTATTATAATTCATTTATATAAACGATTATACATTTTATGTTGGAATTTAGCATTCATTTTAATTTTTTTTTAAATTTAAAAAGCAATACCATAACTTCTGTCGATCACTGTGGCAGCGACGTCGACATCAGCTGTGTGTTTGGCTACGTGTATGCGTGTGTGTTTGTGTTGGTGTAGCAACATTTTCATTGTGCGCCTGTGTGCGTGTGTGTGTTTGTATGGCCGCGCTTTGTTTTGTTATTACACGTATTAATAAATGCTTTGTTGTCTTTCAAGGCTTGCCAAAAAGTAAAACACACACGCCCCTACCGATGGGCATCTGGGAGAACAGCTGTGCGTCACCCACAGCAGCAGAAGCACTTTGTTTGTTTGAGACGCAAAAGCGAAAATCTCCACAAACATAGCCTTGCATAGATATATACACACATACACTTGTGCTTATATACATACATATGTATATGTACATAATGGATTCTGCTGGACTTACCGTCTTTGGAAAAAATGATGCCTCCATGCCCAACAACAATTGGCCGCAGCTCTGCGGTCTCGAGAATCGAGATAGTCGAATATTTGATTTAGTGCCACCGCTGGTATTGTATGCCATTGGGGTATATTCATAACTTTAACTATATAATCCCAAATAAATCCGTGTCTTTACTTTATTGAACTTGTTAATTTTACTTTTGTGCGACCGAACGGTGCGACGCAACATCGACCAATTAAGATACAGCACTGTTAGTTCCTCCATCACTAACATGCGCATTGACTGTTAAATAACATTTTGTTGGTATTTTCCGCAAAGCAAGCATACGGTCACATTGTAAATAATGTGGTAACAACCTGCTTGTGTTTTTGTATAATGTCACTACTCCTGGGCGCTTGCAGGCGATCCCAGCTTATCGCTGCCTGTAAATATGGTTATCTACGTGCGAGTGCCACAAATGTCAAATGGTATGAACGCCGGCATGCCTCTACAGAAACCGCAGCAGCAGCAACGGCAGCATCGCAGCTGGCCAGTGCCGGCGGGCTGGTCGGCTTCTGGCAGACACTGTCGAACAGCACACCTGTGGCTTATATGCAGGATGCCCTGACCCAAATACATGACTACAGCGGATTGCCCTGGTGGGCGGCTATTGTGCTGTCCACGTTTTTGTTTCGCAGCGTCGTCACGTTGCCCTTGACCATTTACCAGCACAGAATAACGGCGCGAATAGAGCAAATTGCGCTGGAAATGCCGGCCTTAGTCGAGGAGCTGAAACGGGAGGCGGCTATGGCCAAGCAAAAGTTCAAGTGGAGCGACAAGCAAACGCAAATTGTCTACAGGCGTTCGGTTTGTCTACGTGCAATGCATATTTTCTGATCTTCTCAAACATCAACTTTTACCTTGCAGATCAAGAAGCAATGGCAAAATCTAATAGTGCGTGATAACTGCCATCCCATGAAGACAGTCATTGTGCTCTGGGGTCAAATACCGTTGTGGATATTCCAGTCTGTAGCCCTGCGTAATCTGGTTTACATGTTGCCGGATCCCACAACGCTGAAGGCACAAATCATAGCCACAGAGCTGACAATTGGCGGCATAGGCTGGATACCAAATCTTACCGTTGTAGATAGTTCCTATATTCTGCCCGTCACACTGGGACTCATCAATCTGGCCATCATTGAGCTGCAGACCATGACGCGCTCGCGTCCGCCCACACGTCTACAGAACATAGCCAACAATGCTTTCAGAGGTCTCAGCGTCTTGATGGTGCCCGTGGCCTGCACGGTGCCATCGGCACTGTGCGTCTATTGGGTAGCCTCCAGCAGCTTTGGTCTAGCGCAAAATCTGCTGTTGCTCTCGCCGGAAATGAGACGCGCCGTGGGCATACCCAAAACGCCAACAGAGCTGGAGCAGCCGTATGACCAGCTGTGGCTTAAGATACAAAAGCGCGCGCGACTCTTGGACGAGGCGCCGGCTGATAAGCCGGCTACCAAGTGAGCCACTAGTCTTATGTTGTAAGTAGTTTATTTAATTGTCATGTAAATATAGTCTGCCATGAGGCTAAGTCCACGAATCCAGACAACTGTCCCATTGTAAATTATCACTTCATCCATGGAAACTCATCTTCGTTCTTAGAAATAAATTGTGTGAAACCCCCCACAACATACATAACTGTAAACAACTAATCGTGCTCTAGTTGAGTGCACGACTAGTAGATACCCCGTATCAATGAGTATTGTCGCAACATAGATTCCTATTTAATTTTATACAGACACGCAGCGGCTGTGCCTCTTTCCTAGTCCAATTGGTAAAAAAATATATTATTAATTATAGATAAAATTAATCTGCGTTTGGTATAGCAAATAAGGCGCCTCTATCTCTTACAGCTTCGGAATATGTATATTCTTTATAGGAACGAAGATGCTGGCTTCTGTTTGCGCAACTTGATACCCTTTCCTACGCGTTTTCTATTGGTACAGGGTATGACAAGTGGAACCAAAACAAATGATAAGCGACAACGAAAAGGTCTAGAGATTGCCACGACCGATAAGGCGGCATTCAATTGGCGCTACGCTGCAGCATCATCCGTCTATCTGCGGCAGCGGCAGCCCAATTGAGATTGAGAATTGTTGGAGAATCGGAGGCTGTCGCCTCAGTCGAGTTTTGAAGCTCAGCGACAGAGGCAGCTAAAATTGAAATTCGCGCGCATCTCCCTCGTATCACTTTTCGGGCCAACGCTATCAGTTTGAGTGAAAATAAAAATAATATATAAATAAATTATATATATATATAGAAAATATATATAAATGATCTTGAGAGCTTTGTGCCTCGGACTGGCGCTCCTCGTGCTGGCCGTAAGTATGGCTTATTATTATTCAATTGATACGAATTGATATGCAATGCTGGATAAACAGGAAGTCTCCTCTACTGATCCATTCAATCTATATAAACCCATAATAATCACACACAAAATGTTCTCAATTGCGACTTCGACAGCAACACGAATCGTTCGCTTATCAACCTGGCAGCTATTCTGATGGACAGTCGACGCAGTCCGGGTTATCAGCATCGCCGCATTCCAGCTATGCCCCAGCTCAAGAGCAGCCAATCTATGAACGCGACGCCGCGGCCTGTCCGCCCCAGTTTCGAGGACTGAAGCCATATGCCCACGATTGTCATCGTTTCATCAGCTGCGCAGATGGTCGATCCACTATACAAACCTGTTCACCGGGCACGGCTTTTAATGCCCGAACGGGAACCTGTGACCACCTGTCCCAAGTAGCCTGTGAGGGTCAGGCCGGTCGCTCGGCTCGCATGCAGCAGCTGAATACGCAGCCCAAGTGTGCAGCGGGCGTGAACGGCCTGCAGCCACATCCCTACGATTGCACCAAGTTCCTGAACTGCGCCAATGGACAGACCTTTGTCCAGAGCTGTGGACCCGGCACAGCCTTCAGTCCATCCCTGTTGGTTTGCGACTACAAGCACAAGGTGGATTGCGGAGATGGTCACTTCAACGTTGATGAATCAGCTCAAGGTACGTCCGGCTCCTACATTTAAGACACATCCTCAACTAACACAAACTTAGGTCGAACGGGTGGCACCTCTGCTGGACTCACTTGTCCAGAAGGCGCTCGCGGTCAATTTCCCTACCCCAATGATCCCTATAAATATGTAATTTGTGGAATTGGTGTGCAGCCGCGTCTCGAGCAATGCCCGACGGGTAAATTATTCGATGGCAACAGCTTGATTTGTGTTCCCATCGGAGCCCTCTCTGCCCAAACTGATTTCTCCTGTAAGTTTTACTATTATCTATCTGCGCTTTGCTTTGCTTTCTCCATTCGCTTCTCATTTGGGTTTTTGGTATCATCTTTTGCTTTTCATTCGCTTCCAGTTGCTCGTTTTTTTGCTTGCTTAGTTTGTAATCCTAACGAATCCTCCCAGCTGCCGCCCGGTCGAGTGATCTACTCTGTCCTGGAGGCGTCGAAGGTCTGTTTGTTCATCCCTTCGATCAAACCAAGTTCCTCAATTGTAAGGCTGGCAAAGTGGCTGTCCAGAGCTGTATTCCTGGCCACGTCTTTAGTATATCCAAAGGTAATTGTCAGCTCAAGGCACAATCTGTGTATAGCGACTATGTGACCTACATTGTCTCCGAGATCAGCCACGAATATTGTAAGTGACCACGTGTTATCCGGTCTTCACACCTTTTGAGCCGTACCCTCTTCAGCTCTGATGCTGACCCGCTGTCCGGCGGGCACGGATGGTCTCCACATATACCCCTACGATGCTGGGAAGTTTGTTCGCTGTGCAGCTGGAGGCGAGATGTCCATATTGAGTTGTGGAGAGGATAAGGCGTATAGCTTCACTCAACGGGCTTGTCGACCGCGTAGACAAGTGACCCGAGCGGAACGCGTCAAGTTTTTTTCGGAGCTCAGCTTTCAAGGAGGCAGCTACAGTTACACGGATAGTCAGATCTTCCAGTCAGGACTAAAGTCCTGTCCACCCAATCTGCGCGGCAAATACGCCTATCCATTCCATGCCGGCCACTTTGTGCTGTGTCAGAATGGTCTGCTGCAGGTGGAGTCCTGCCCAGCGGGATCTGTTTACAGTCTATCCACGCGCAGGTGCGCGGCTCGCCAGCAGCTCTCGTCACATGACTTTTTGGACTATGCCTATCTAAATATTCAGCTCTCGAGTAAGATTATTCCTAAGACAGGATGTTCAAGTGACCCTTATTATTTTCCGCTCCCCAGCTGACCTTTTGCTAGACCTTACCACTGTCACCTGTCCCGCAAATGCACTTGGATACTATTTGCATCCCTTTGATTGCACCAAGCACTTAAACTGTCGCGATCAACAGACCTCCATTGAGAGCTGTGAAAAGGGGGAGGTCTTCAGCATATCCCAACGACGTTGCGTGGCCAGGGATGAATTGGTGGCCGCATACGATCGGGTGGAGTATCTAACAGAGACTCAGCATGAGTTCTTCCAAGAACACGCAGTGACTGAGGGTCGTCAGTTGCAGTCTAAGGCACAAAATCCGCAAGGAGAAGCTACTTGCCCTCCAGGCGCTAGTGGCCTTCACAGGCATCCCTACGATTGCACCAAGTTCCTGAATTGCGCGAATGGGCAAACTTTTATTCAGGACTGTGGACCTGGAACAGCCTTTAGCGCATCGCTATTGGTCTGTGACTTCAAAGAAAAGGTGGACTGCGGCGAGGGTCGCTCGTATACGGGCGAAGGCAAGATAACTTACAGTGGTTCTAGCGGTCAGGTCAGCGGCGGCTCACCTACGGGCTATCAAGGCGGATCATCAGTTGATGTAAATGGATCGTTTAACGGAGCTAGTTGCCCGGAAGGAGCTCGCGGCTTATTTCCGTATCCCAAGGATCCTCACAAGTATATCAAATGTGGAATTGGTGTGCAGCCCCGTCTTGAGCAATGCCCGTCGGGTGAGGTATTCGATGGCCTCAGTTTAAATTGTGTTCCCACAGGAACCGTCTCTACCCAAACTGATTCGTTCTGTAAGTTGATCACCTATTTGCCTGCGCTTTCCTTTGCTTTCTCCATTCGCTTCCCATTTGGGTTTTGGTATCATATTTTGCCTTTCATGCGCTTCCAGTTGCTTTTTATACCCTGAACCCATTAAAAATAAGTTTGAAGCAAATCAGGCAAAGCTATTAAAACCAGGAGATTATTGCCAGATTTAGATGCCAAATTTATCTAGAGGCAAAACCCTGAAACACGAGCCAAACCGTATGAAAATCTGTGGAGTTTTGACCGAGTTGTGGGACTGGGAAGTTTCGACTTAGGTCTATATACGAATCTTAGGGGTAAGATTTTGATATGAATTTCGACTAAAAAATATGAAGTCAGATTTAAATGCCAGATTATTAAAGAGGGAAAACCATGGACAAAAACACAAGCCCCATGAAAATCGGTTGAGTTTTGACCGAGTTGTGGGACTGGGAAGTTTCGACTTATGTCTATATACGAATCCTAGGGGTAAGATTTTGATATGAATTTCGACTAAAAAATATGAAGTCAGATTTAAATGCCAGATTATTATAGAGGGAAAACCATGAACTAAAAGCCAAGCCTCATGAAAATCGGTTGAGTTTTGACCGAATTATGGGAGTGGGAAATTTCGGCTTATGTCTTTATACAAATCCTTGGGGTAAGAGTTTTACATGAATTTTGACTAAAAAATATGAAGTCAGATTTAAATGCCAGATTATTATAGAGGGAAAACCATGATCCAAAAGCCATATCTCATTCAAATCGGTTGAGTTTTGACCGATTTATGCGAATGGGAAATTTCGGCCTAAATCTAAATGGGATATTTGAGGGGACTATTTTTAAATAAATTTTGACCAATAATATTGTTGATAGATGTAGAAAATAGATAATGTCGATTTAAAACAAATTTATCATAAATATAGGGAGTATTAGGATATCTTTATAAAGAAAAAAGTTTTTTATATAAGAACTTACTTTTCGACCGATCGTTCCTATGGCAGCTAGATGATATAATAGTCCGATCCAGCCGGCGCCGACATTTGTACTTCGTGCAACAGAAGGAGAGACCCCTTTTTTTTTTTTTTTAAATTAATTCATTTAATTTTGTTTTCTGCTTAAGCGAACTCGCTCTTAGTGCGAGCTACATTTGGTGTTGGTAGAAGAGGGTTCAGGGTATCCCCTAGTCAGGAACTCCCGACTAGAGCCTCTTACTTGTTTTTGCTTGTTTAGTTTGTAATCCTAACAAATCCTCCCAGCAGCCGCCCGGCTGAGTGATCTACTCTGTCCCGGAGGCGTCGAAGGTCTGTTTGTTCATCCCTTCGATCAGACCAAGTTCCTCAATTGTAAGGCTGGCAAAGTGGCTGTCCAGAGCTGTATTCCTGGCCACGTCTTTAGTATATCCAAAGGTTATTGTCAGCTCAAGGCACAATCTGTGTATAGCGACTATGTGACCTACATTGTCTCCGAGATCAGCCACGAATATTGTAAGTGACCTCGTATTATCCGGTCTTCACACCTTTTGAGCCGTACCCTCTTCAGCTCTGATGCTGACCCGCTGTCCGGCGGGCACGGATGGTCTCCACCTATACCCCTACGATGCTGGGAAGTATGTTCGCTGCGAAGCTGGAGGAGAGATGTCCATTTTGAGTTGTGGAGAGGATAAGGCGTATAGCTTCACTCAACGGGCTTGTCGACCGCGTAGACAAGTGACCCGAGCGGAACGCGTCAAGTTTTTTTCGGAGCTCAGCTTTCAAGGAGGCAGCTACAGTTACACTGATAGTCAGATCTTCCAGTCAGGACTAAAGTCCTGTCCACCCAATCTGCGCGGCAACTACGCCTATCCATTCCATGCCGGCCACTTTGTGCTGTGTCAGAATGGTCTGCTGCAGGTGGAGTCCTGCCCAGCGGGATCTGTTTACAGTCTATCCACGCGCAGGTGCGCGGCTCGCCAGCAGCTCTCGTCACATGACTTTTTGGACTATGCCTATCTAAATATTCAGCTCTCGAGTAAGATTATTCCTAAGACAGGATGTTCAAGTGACCCTTATTATTTTCCGCTCCCCAGCTGACCTTTTGCTAGACCTTACCACTGTCACCTGTCCCGCAAATGCACTTGGATACTATTTGCATCCCTTTGATTGCACCAAGTACTTAAACTGTCGCGATCAACAGACCTCCATTGAGAGCTGTGAAAAGGGGGAGGTCTTCAGCATATCCCAACGACGTTGCGTGGCCAGGGATGAATTGGTGGCCGCATACGATCGGGTGGAGTATCTAACAGAGACTCAGCATGAGTTCTTCCAAGAACACGCAGTGACTGAGGGTCGTCAGTTGCAGTCTAAGGCACAAAATCCGCAAGGAGAAGCTACTTGCCCTCCAGGCGCTAGTGGCCTTCACAGTCATCCCTACGATTGCACCAAGTTCCTGAATTGCGCGAATGGGCAAACTTTTATTCAGGACTGTGGACCTGGAACAGCCTTTAGCGCATCGCTATTGGTCTGTGACTTCAAAGAAAAGGTGGACTGCGGCGAGGGTCGCTCGTATACGGGCGAAGGCAAGATAACTTACAGTGGTTCTAGCGGTCATGTCAGCGGCGGCTCACCTACGGGCCATCAAGAGGGATCATCAGTTGATGTGAACGGATCGTTTAACGGAGCTAGTTGCCCGGAAGGAGCTCGCGGCTTATTTCCGTATCCCAAGGATCCTCACAAGTATATCAAATGTGTAATTGGTGTACAGCCCCGTCTTGAGCAATGCCGGTCGGGTGAGATATTCGATGGCCTCAGTTTAAATTGTGTTCCCACAGGAACCCTCTCTACCCAAACTGATTCGTTCTGTAAGTTGATCACCTATTTGCCTGCGCTTTCCTTTGCTTTCTCCATTCGCTTCTCATTTGGGTTTTGGTATCATCTTTTGCTTTTCATGCGCTTCCAGTTGCTCGTTTTTTTGCTTGCTTAGTTTGTAATCCTAACGAATCCTCCCAGCTGCCGCCCGGCTGAGTGATCTACTCTGTCCTGGAGGCGTCGAAGGTCTGTTTGTTCATCCCTTCGATCAGACCAAGTTCCTCAATTGTAAGGCTGGCAAAGTGGCTGTCCAGAGCTGTATTCCTGGCCACGTCTTTAGTATATCCAAAGGTTATTGTCAGCTCAAGGCACAATCTGTGTATAGCGACTATGTGACCTACATTGTCTCCGAGATCAGCCACGAATATTGTAAGTGACCTCATATTATCCGGTCTTCACACCTTTTGAGCCGTACCCTCTTCAGCTCTGATGCTGACCCGCTGTCCGGCGGGCACGGATGGTCTTCACCTATACCCCTACGATGCTGGGAAGTATGTTCGCTGCGACGCTGGAGGAGAGATGTCCATTTTGAGTTGTGGAGAGGATATGGCATATAGCTTTTCTCAACGGGCTTGTCGACCGCGTAGACAAGTGACCCGAGCGGAACGCGTCAAGTTTTTTTCGGAGCTCAGCTTTCAAGGAGGCAGCTACAGTTACACGGATAGTCAGGCCTTTCAGTCAGGACTAAAGTCCTGTCCTCCCAATCTGCGTGGCAACTACGCCTATCCATTCCATGCCGGCCACTTTGTGCTGTGTCAGAATGGTCTGCTGCAGGTGGAGTCCTGCCCAGCGGAATCTGTCTATAGTCTATCAACGCGCAGGTGCGCGGCTCGCCAGCAGCTCACGTCACATGACTTTTTGGACTATGCCTATCTAAATATTCAGCTCTCGAGTAAGATAATCCTTAAAACAGGATATTTGAGTGACCCTTATTATTTTCCGCTCCCCAGCTGACTTTTTGCTAGATCTTACCACTGTCACCTGTCCCGCAAATGCACTTGGATACTATTTGCATCCCTTTGATTGCACCAAGTACTTAAACTGTCGCGATCAACAGACCTCCATTGAGAGCTGTGAAAAGGGGGAGGTCTTCAGCATATCCCAACGACGTTGCGTGGCCAGGGATGAATTGGTGGCCGCATACGATCGGGTGGAGTATCTAACAGAGACTCAGCATGAGTTATACCAAGAACACGCAGTGGCTGAGGGTCGAGAGCTACATTCTGTTAACGGAGTTGTGGAATGTCCATCTGGTGTTGGTGGACTTCAACCGCATCCTTACGACTGCACCAAGTTTCTAAACTGCGCCAATGGCCAGACATTTGTTCAGGATTGTGAATCCGGTACAGCTTTCAATAGATTACGGAGCGTCTGCGATCACGCCACCCAAGCGAATTGTGCGGGCAGAACTACGTATTTAGTTGCGACAGCTGGATCCAATCCCATCACTGTTCCCTCCTATCGTTTGGCTTGCCCTGACCACGTCTATGGCCTTTATGCACATCCCTTTGATGCCAAGAGCTATCTGTATTGCGATAAGGGACATACAACGATCAGGCAGTGCCTACCCAATGAGGTTTTTAGTCTCTCGCGTGGCTATTGCCTGTCAGTGGAGCTCGTTCTGGCTGCAGATCGCGTGTCCTTGTTAGGCGGCGCAGAGCAGCTTAGCCTGGAGCAGCTGGAGTGTGAGTTGGCCCGTTAATAATCAGGAAGGGCGGAAACCTGATGATCTTGTCCCGTTACAGCTATAAGTTGTCCACGTGCTACTGTGGGCAATCACGCCTATCCCTTTGACTGTACGCAGTACTTGAGCTGTGAGGCGGGCATCACGCGCCTCCAGAGCTGTCCCCATGGTCAACACTTTAGCCTGTCGCAGCGCAGATGTCAACCTCAGGAGCAAGTGCAGCGCATCGATCGCGTTTACTTATTAAGTGAGCTGCAGATCTTCTACGAGTGGTGGCAGCAGCTTCAGCATGTGGGAACTGGCGTTAGGATCAGCTGTCCCTTTGGCTTGACGGGCAACTATCAGCATCCGACGTTGCCGCACAAATTTATCAGCTGTTCAGCCCATAGCTCAGAGGCGATACTCCTCGATTGTCCCGGTGGTCAGGTTTTCAGTGTATCGCGGCGTCTGTGTGTGCCGGGCACGCAGGTGCCCACACACGATCGCTGTGACTATCATTCAGAGCAAGCAGTGTCCTCCTATGGTTGGATAGATCTGCGTCATGGTTACTAACATTCATTACCCGTTATTTTTTCCGCATTTCACGAATAATCCCTGATTCTTACAGACGCTCGCGAGCCGAAGGCGTATGTCCAACCGATTTACGGTGCTGCCGATCAGTACGGCAGTGGTTCGGGCATTAAGACGACCGTTGTCAGAGGCGGAAGTCGCTGGAGTGACATGAATATGGAACGTCCGTCGGGTATTGACTTTGGGCAGGACACACAGCAGACACTCGCCAACGGCTGGTCTGGCCAGGGGAGCTCCTACAATCGACAGGCGCCTACACAGAGCGTGCTCTATGTGGAGGGTTCACTGCAGCCGAATCGTAATTATCAACCGACTACCACAAATTCAATATATAAAACGCCACTGGCGCCCATGGAGCCCACCACAAGCAATGTTTACTATGCCCAGCCCGTGGAGACTGCGCACTCGTCACGTCAGAATTTCAGTCGCTCCCAGACAAATGACTGGCATACGGCACCATACAACCCTCAAAGAAGCTACCCCGCGGCTAGTCTAGCGGGACAGCAGCCCTTAGATCTTGACTACCAGCCCGATAGACATGCTGAAGAGCCACGTCTCACTTATCCTAGGGATCAGCTGCCAAGCGGATCGCATCAACAGCCTCGCGAGCATTTCCGTCCTCCTTATCCCTCTGTGCCCGCTAATCATAATCCTACTTTTCATGGTCAGTCTTATCCGCCAGCGGTTGAATCGAATTTGTATGGTGGTCTGCAACCGCCTACACCTCCAGCTCAGCCCTCTGGCTTTACTCCAATTCGCCCACAACCCAATCCTCCTGCCCGTACACTACCAGGACAGAGACCACTAGACCTGGACGACTATAATCCCGATGTGGATACCCAAGCAACTGTAGATCAGCCTTATCCTACTTTCCGTCAAGCTCCTCCTCCCGTTCCCTCTGTGCCTGCCAATCACAGTCCCACCTATCGTGGTCAGCCCCATCCTGAGGCTAATGAATCCAATTTGTATGGTGGATTGCAGCCACCCTCCCGCCCATCTCTGCCCGAGACAACAACGACAATTCCCATCACCAGCTCTACGCCTTCAAATCTCCGCACATTCCCGATTTATCCACCTGTGTTCAATGCCACACCTGCTAATCCAGCCAATCACCCACACTATAGTCCGCCCTATGCGGGAGTTGCGCATTCGCAGAATGCTTCCTGGAGCAAGGTGCCACCACGTGCCCGCGAACCTGATCCTTTTATCGACGGGGGAGATTATGATGAAGCAGATTACGGTGATTCGGAGACCACGACCACCACAGAGAGAATCGGCTTGAGGCCACCGCCCTTCAACCATCAGTTTTACAATCCACCACGAGGTGCTGCTCCCGCAGCAGAAACTCCCTCGAAGGTAGCGCTCGGTGAGGCGTTGCGTTTGATGCTGCGCCCCTATTTCAATCACAGCGGCAATGCGCAGGAAGCACTCGCTGAGCGGGCTGAATCCGCCATTGCGTCCGCTATTGCCAAGCCACCGACTAGCACGACTCCCAACCCTACTACGACCACGACGAGCAAAGACCCGCATCGGGGCAGACAGACGCCGGACGATGAGGTTGAACTGATTGTGGCGGGCGAACAGGAAAGCTTGGACATTGCTGACGATGACTCTGTTGTTCCAGATGCGGGTGAAACGGCGCGCACTGAGCAAACCCTAAATCCGACGACTTACGCATCCGGCTATGACACGACTGACTTCCAACGGGGCACACGTAGAGTGGATACCGACACCAGTACGAAATCCTATCCAAATTCAAATTCCAACAACTGGCACACATGGGGTCACAGTCGTGACTTCCACAAGCGTCATCCAAATATGCCCGATCCGTTTGATAAGCCAGACGATCAGCATCAACCCAAACAACACCACCAACACCAACACCACCCCCACCAACACCTGCACCACCACCATCATCCCCACGAGCACAGCCGCCTTTACCATAGCAGCCATCCCAATGTACCCAATCCCTTTCCCACCAAAACTGAGGAGCAACCACAACAGCCAGAGCCGCAGCCAGACTTTGAGGAAGAGCCGGACTTTCTGCCCAATCCAAATGCGGAAGCCACCACGCCACGTAGCCCACAAATCAGTGTTCGCGGTAATTTTGATGAGCCCTGCGAGTTTGATTGCGGCGGTGGCAAGTGTGTAAAGAAAATGGAAGTCTGCGATGGCGTCAACAACTGTGGCAATCGGCGGGATGAGCAACAGTGTGATCATCTGGGCTATCAGGTGCGCCTGACGGGCGGCGAGAGTCCGCACATGGGACGCATTGAGGTCAAGGGTGAGTTCAACCACATTTAATGACTAACTGTATTGCATCGTAATATTTTCTATCCTATCAGTCAATGGCCAGTGGGGCTACGTTTGCGATGATAAGTTTGGATTGCGTGATGCGGATGTTGTCTGCCGAGAGCTGGGATTTAAGATGGGCGCAGCTGAGGTGCGTGGCAACTCCTACTATGAGCCACCCGGGCGGAACTTCAACTATGCCATGGATGAGCTCGAGTGTCGGGGCAATGAGACACAGCTAAAGGATTGCAACTTCAAGGGCTGGGGTGTGCACAACTGTGGCGTTGATGAGGTGGTGGGCGTGGTCTGCAAGGTGCCCGTGCTGAAGTGTCCCAACAATTTCTGGCTGTGTCAGACCTCAAAGGAGTGCATACCGCCCGCTTTTGTCTGCGACCACACCGAGGATTGTGCGGACAAGTCGGACGAGAGCGATGCCGTTTGCAAGGTCCGTAGTGCCGGGTTTTCAGCTATAGAATTTTAGACTTAGCCGTACTTTTTTAGGCGCCCATTGAGTACCGTCTGGAGGGCGGACGCAGCCCGATCGAGGGTCGCCTGGAGGTCAAGTATCACGGCGTTTGGGGCACCGTTTGCGATGATGATTTCAATCTAAAATCTGCGCAGGTGGCCTGCAATAATCTGGGCTACTATGGAGCAGCTGTAAGTGGTGCCTTGCCGGAAACAACCGGAAACCGAAGAATTTCAATTCCTTCCACTTTTTTCTAGAAAATTGAAAAGAACATTTTCGGTCCGGGCAGTGGACCCATCTGGCTGGATCAGGTTCTATGCCAGGGCAACGAGACGAGCATTGACATGTGCCGACACTGGAACTGGGGCGAGCACAACTGCAATCACACCGAGGATGTGGGTCTGCGCTGCACCGCCGGACCGCCGCCGCGCCAGTCACGGCAACGCACTCGTCTACAGGCCTTGGACAAGGACAGCCCGGTTGGCCAATCGGCCCGAGTTAGTCTCTCCGACATTGGGCTCTGGGAGAGATCGAGCAAGGCATTGCGCACACCGCGACGCTGTGGCATCTTCAAGGACGACCTGACCGATGAGTTTGCGCATCCGGAACAGCGTGTGGTGCAGGGCAGCGTGGCTCGCCGTGGCCGTCATCCGTGGCAGGCCACGATACGCACGCGTGGACGCGGCGGCATCTCTAGCCACTGGTGCGGAGCTGTCGTCATCTCCAAGCGGCATCTGCTTACCGCCGCCCACTGCCTCTACGGGCATCCGAAGGGCGCCTATTTTGTGCGCGTCGGCGATCACTATGCCAACATTGCGGAGCACTCGGAGGTGGATGTGTTCATCGAGAACTGGTACACACACGAGCAATTCCGGCAGCCCACACACATGAACAACGACATTGCCGTCGTGGTGCTCAAGACACCGCTTAAGTTCAGCGACTACGTGCAGCCAATTTGTTTGCCGGAGCGTGGTGCACCGCTGGTCGAGAATCGCACTTGCACCATCTCCGGCTGGGGCTCCATCAAATCAGGCATGTCCAGTGAGTAAACAGCTGGCAATGACTCTTTGTTGGGGTATTAACTGGTGTCTTTGCTTGCAGCTCCCTCCCAGGAACTGAGAGCTGCCCAGCTGCCTATTTTGCCGGATGCGACGTGCAAGCAAATGAATGTCTACGGCGATGCCATGACCGAAGGTACGTGCGTGCGTGCATACATACATACATACATACATACATACATACATACATACATACATACATACATACATACATACATACATACATCTACATACATACATCTACATACATACATCTACATACATATATCTACATACATACATCTACATACATACATCTACATACATACATCTACATACATACACCTACATACATACATACATCTACATACATACATCTACATACATACATCTACATACATACATCTACATACATACATCTACATACATACATCTACATACATACATCTACATACATATCTACATCTACCCGCCCACCTTCTCCTGCACAGCCGCCTCCTGCTCCTCCGCCTCCTCCACAGTTGCTCCTGCACAGGCCGTTGGAGCCAACGTTGCCTGCCTCGTTGAATTTCAGCAAGGCCTACTTGAATTCTTGAGAATCGAGGAGGAGAGCACTTGGCAGAAATTCGTTTTATTTAAATCTGCAGCACAGCGACAAATAGGCTTGGTCTGCGTTTGGTATTAGAAAACAAACATGCATGCATACATATAGTCATATACGCACACATACATACATGCATACACTAACACGCAACCCCGCACACACACACACATGCATACACACACAAACATATATAATACCTGTATAATTATATACTCTCTTCCATATAAGCTGACTTTTATATGATTTGTATAGAATCTATATATGCACTCGATTGATTGATAAAATGACAAATATGCCTCTACTGTTCAAGAATATATATTCTTTATGGGGCCGGAATAGTGTCCCTCTAAAATAAACCAATGTTATCAGTTTAAACCTTTAACTATTTCTGCTCTAATTAGGCATGTTCTGCGCCGGCTCCATGGACGAAAGCGTCGATGCCTGCGAGGGGGACTCTGGCGGCCCGCTCGTCTGCTCAGATGAGGGTAAGTAGTGTCCAGCTTACTTCACCTTACCGAACTTCAATAATCGTGTGCTCCTTGCAGATGGCGAAACACTCTATGGCATCATATCCTGGGGACAGCACTGCGGCTATCAGAACCGACCTGGCGTCTATGTGCGCGTCTGTCACTATATCGATTGGATCTATGAGAAGATCAACCAGAGTTTGCTGCGCTTTTGAATGAATCACAAGCTTTATAAATTTAGGCCCCATCTCTGCCACAAGCTACTTATATTTATGGCAGCACCTGCATGTAGGCTATAAAAATTGTGCGATTTTTTTTTATATTTTTATCCAAGGTGTGGGGCAGGGGGCAGGCACGTAGATTAAGCACATAATCAATGCTAATAAAGCGCACAACAATAACAACGAAAACGATGCTGAGTAAATTTAATTCACATGTCGACTCATCCCGAACCCCCTCCCTCCGCCGTCTCTACACACATCCATTGCCAACCGAAAGCTTCCTCTTTCCAACAAATGTACTCAGTTTTGTGGCTCAAGCAATTGAATGGTCAGCTCAAGCGTACATACACACTCACACACACACACACGCGTGCTCAATTGACACTGCTGGTCGTGGGCAAAGGGGTTAGGGTTGGCGGGCGATTTGGTTCATTCGCATTGTGCGGGTGCGAGTGGCTCAGCAAAAGCTGAACAATTAACTTAATTAACTAATGATCAGCGCGAGCTACGCAACGAACTGAACGAAAGAGTGCACTTACAACTGCCGCCCCCTGTCGCTTCCTTTTTTGTTACCTTTCCCCAATTCTCATGCAATTGTTCTGCTCTCTTTCGTTCAATCTCTCTCTTCCTCTCTCTCGCTGGCTGTAGCTTTGCCTTCGCTCGTTTTAGCTGGCAGTTGATTCCGGCATTTCATTAAGCGCAGTTCGCTCGTTGTCTGCATCCACGGTTCAAGCCTTATCAAAAGCGCTCACACACACCGCACACACATACACAGTGATAGCCCGCGAGTTACCATGCTTATGAAATTTGCATATTTTGTGATCTTTAGCGTCTGCTGGTCACACTGCGCCGGAAATAATTTAGATCATAATGTATTTGGATCAATGGATGGCGCCACCAGCACCGAACGTATTAATGCGGCAATGCGTTGCGTGAATGTTAATCCACAGCATTCGGTGGATCTGGAACAGGTGAGATGGCAGCACGGATTCGAGATTTTAGGTGTACATTCTATGAATTGTCTCTTGCTGGGGTTTTTTTTTCGGAGCACCACCCACGTTTTGGATCAGGAAACTTTTTATCCATTTGGATCCTTTTGTTTCGAATCCTGTTGTATTTATATTTACATATTTGTATTATTCGAAAAAGATTAGGTATAGTTATAGGCAAACGTTTTTTTTTTTGAGTACTGGATTCAGGTTCGAATTTCGCGCAACAGATTCTGCTCCAGATATGGTTCTTCGTAATGAAAAACTTGGAATTCCCGGCTCGAACTTATGTTGACAACTAATCCAATTAGGGCTGATTTGTGCTAATTAACCCCTTTAACTTAAGGGCATATGTCAACGCTGGGTCGTCTTCCCAGACACTCAGCCAGCCGATCAGCGAGTGAATCGTTTAGTCAGCCCGTCCGTCCGTCTGTCCGTCTGTCCGTCCGTCTGCATGCGGGCTAATAATTGCGGCAGTCCGAGTACGTGACTCGCATGCAAATCGAAATTGACGAGCCCGATGTATCTGCATATATATAGTATACATCTATATCTACATGACTTTAACTTGTTCAATTATAATTGAATTATTGTAAAATCTAAATGTACGCAGTTAAAGGCAGTTGGAGTAGAACTAGAAAAATAGAAGTTGCCAAATTGAAGTCGAGGGTATTGGATGGTTTTTCTTAGAACCGACACCTGGTGCAACAGCATATCAAAGCACTTGCGGATGTATTTCATGGTGACATGTTTTTATACCCTTTCAAAGGCTGCTATAATTTTCACATCAAATGTGTAACGCCTGGAAGAATAACCGAGTTATTTTCGACTGTCTGTGCAAACGAGTCTCTCTCTTTAAAATCTTCCATCATGAAATTTTACAAAGGTCTTACTCCGGCAGACCGCATATATATCGGAGACGGCCGGATCGGACATCAATATCATAAAGCTGACATGAGGATTGGTCATTATATTTTTGTATGAGAAACTTTTTGTTTTTTCAAGATAACATGACATGACATGACATGACATGACACTGTCTTTCCCATATATGAGACATATCTAATCAATATCGGGTTACCATATGATATAGCTCTGTAGGAAGAAACAGTCAAAAGTGAATTTCTGTATGTCAAAGTGATTTCAGGATGTTTTCACCAAGCTCTTTCGAGCCTTAATATTCTGCTCACATATTTGCAAAACCAGAAATCACATTTATAAAAGGGTATTTAAAATTCGACGTGCCGTAGAATTGTTCGTTTTAGAAGTGATTCCTTGTGTATATAAATATAATATATAAATAAATTGAGCGCAGTTTTATATACATCAACTTGACTTTATACAGATAATGGGCCTGTGGTATGGCAGCGAGATCATAATGCATAGTCAAGATTTTCCCGGCGTCTACGAATACGATTCGTGCGTTATAATTCATCTGACCGATGTGACGCAGCAGGTGAGTCCGAGTCCAAGTCGAAAAAGTGAGAGATTTATGAGAAATTGTTGTTTTGCTTTGCTTTCAGATGCACAACAGCAATATCTACAACAACAACAACAATTATCGCAACTACAACAATCGCAATCAGAATCAAAATCAAAACAATTATAGACACATCTCGACCACGCCCCAATACGGAGACAACGACGAGTATGTGCGTCAGAATTCACAGAATTCGCACAGGACGCGATTTCTGCGGTTGGTGTGGAGCGAGCGGGACAACAATCTGGAATATACCTTCAACTATACGACAGATGCACCGGGCCAATGGTCGAATATTGGCGATCAGCGCGGCTCTCTGGTCACACTGAACACCTATACACAGTTCACGGGCACCGTCCAGGTGGTCAAAGCGGTCAACGATCATCTGGTGCTGACCTTCTGCGGCAACGACGTCAAGAGCTCCATTTATACGGTTGTGCTGACACGCAATCGCCTGGGCCTCAGCACCGATGTGAGCATCATCATCAGTCAACCAATTTGCCAATTGCCTGGCATACTCTGTTCACAAGTGGCAAAGCGGCTATATTAGTTGTCCGTGCAATGTCCGTTTGTCTGTCTGAAGGCAAGCTTATTAACTTGATCCGCAATTTAGGATCTGGATTCAATGAAAAGTTGATTAGGAATCTTTTCCGATCCTTGAGAATGAAAAAAAAAATTGTGTGTCGAAAGTAAGTGGACTCCTTTTTCCATGATCTACGCAAAGATCGAAGCTAAGAAACAAAATTTTGTATCTGCCACAGTTTTAGAGTCACATTAAGATATGCCAAATAGGAATCTTTCGTTTAATTTTCGTTTCAAAAATATTCCGATCCATGAAAATGAAAAAAAAGTGTGTCGAAAATAAGCCGACCTACGCAAAGATCGAAACTAAGAAACTATCAAAATTATTCATCTGCGACAGTTTTAGAGTCACAACAAGATATGCCAAATATGGCAGAAAGATTAAGCATGGATCATTTAAAGCTCACCTCTGCCTTCTTTATTGCTTTAGATGATAGTTTGACAGCCACTGCCTTTTGGGTTAACAGTTTTACAGTCACGTACTCAAAAGCCATTACGATCCATCCTTCGCCTCTAATCATTCTATGAACAGAGTATTGTGCAGTCGTAACTTTATCACTTCTTAAAAAAATATTGACCCACCTTTCCTTTCTCATTCCTCTTCCTAGGAGCTGCGCAGCATACGCAGCATGCTCTCCCGCCGTGGCCTCTACACGGAGACCATACGCAAGGTCTGCAACGGGGCCGGACGTATGGGCGTTGGCCTTGTCGCGCTGCTGTTGTTGCCGCTAATCGCCGCCTGGGGGCGTCGCCAGTGAGTCGCAGCGTAGGAATCACATTCCAGCCATACTCTATGTTTAATTTATGCATAATCGACTTACTTAAGCGTTTAACTCTCGGGCAATACGGCATCTAGTTGCAGCACGTCTAACCAATTGCTTAGATTCGGTGCCTTAATTGCTTTTGTCTCCTCAATTAAACTCAATTAGTTATTTGGCCCCTCTCTTACCGCCCTCCCTGCTCTCCTCTCCTCTCGTCCGGCTGTCTTGGCTTAGGCTAGATACGTGTAGGCGTTAAATGCGCTTTTAATTCAATTATCAACTCGAGACAAACATTGTTTCTAAGTTTGTATTCCGTTCATAATTAATTCCCACGCTGGCCAAAAAGTAGGCAACGCAAATTCGAATAGAAAATTCCAACAATTTCACATTAATCAGAATATTATTCATATTATTTGTCGCTTATCAAAACGAATTCTATGTTTTTTTAGCTGGGACTTTACTACAACCTGAGATGCGAACCCTGCTGGTTCCATGTTTAGCACAGTTTTTATACCCACTAATCATTGAAGATACGGGGTATATCGCTGCTGAGAAAAGGTTTGCAACAGGCGGGGCATAATTTCTTTTCGTATTCACATCTATCTCTCCTTTATCCCTTTGACGATATCAAATACTTTATCGAGTTTTCTAGAGAAGCCTTATTTAAATTTATCGATAACTTTATCGTTTATCCCTTTGACGATATCAAATACTTTAACGAGTTTTCTAGAGAAGCCTTATCGATTATCGATTATCGATAACTTTATCGTCTATCCCTTTGTCGATATCAGTTACTATAGCGAGTTTTCTAGAGCAGGCCAACTTTATATCCATTTATCGATAACTTATTTCCGTTTCCCGATAAATATGGCTACCCAGCACCCGTTTTTTTCAGCATATCTCTGAGATTAATCAAGCTAGAAAGATCAAATTTTCAGATTTTTGTATACCTCAAGTTTTGAATACCCTTTCCCAGCTGCACTGAGGATTAAAAATATTGTAATTTGATGTAAGCCCCTTGAGTTTTTGTTTGTAAATGAATGTCATATTTATGACCAAAAATTTAAATAACTTTCGAGCAATAAATATATCAGTTATATAAGAGTCAATCTGAATTATAAAATAATCAATCTTTTTATCTACCTGCATGTATAAAAGTTGAGTGCAGGGTATCGCGCAGTCAGTCACTCTCGCGTCTTTCATTTGTTTACTAAGATATAAATAGTATATAAGATTTATGGCCATGGCAACAAGCATATTACCTTAATCAAATCTGCGGCAACAAATGCAAAACCTTTCCCCAGTTGATCTTATCGCAAATGTTGGCAAGTTTTGGGCTAGATTCGGATCCGGGAGAAATATATATCTTATCGTGGACGGAACACGCGATTGTTGGCGGTAGTCTGGCGAGTTTTATGCTTGTTTTTGACTTTGTCTTGATAATTTCTTTTTATACCCTGAACCCATTGAAAATGGCTAAACAGGGGTATAATGTATTTGTGCAAATGTATGTAACAGGCAGAAGGAAGCATCTCCAAGCCCCATAAAGTATATATAGTCTTGATCAGCATCAACAGCCGAGTCGATCTATCCATGTCCGTCTGTCTGTCTGTCCGTATGTATGAACGCAAGGATCTCGTAACCTATAAGAGCTAGGGACTTGAAATTTTAGGTGTAGGTCCTCCTAGTGCCCGCGCAGATTGAGTTTGTTTCCGATAATCGATAACTTGCCCCGTTTCCAAGAAATCGATAAAAATCGATATCGAAATCCTGTTTATATAGTATAGTATATATAGTATATATATATCAATTATCTTTCAGAGGGTTCAGGGTATCCCCTAGTCGGGAACTCCCAACTAGAACCTCTTACTTGTTATACTTTTGTTTTTTTTTTTTGGGGGGTGTTAGTAAAAGTGCGAGCGTTGCGCCCGCTTCAAAGTTCTCCGACTCGGCGACGCTTATCAGTCCCGAAAATATGAGTGGGCATTATTGGATGGTTCACTTTCCGCTAACGATTCGTAAACAAGCGGCGGCTGGAAAGTTTTGTCCAAAATTATGATTGGAATCTTTTGACCGGTTGCACAGTGCCAAAGCATTGCGAGACAACGTGCCGACGCTTATCTCTTATCAGGTCGCCGAAACCCCTACACACTCAAATACGATTCCATCCCTTCGAGGGGTTCCACCCTTGAACTTGAAGTGCCTGCATTTGTTGTTGTTGCTTATTATTTATTATTGCATTATTATTTTTATTATTATTATTGTTTGCTCTTCAGCCTTTTGAGCGCACGCTTTTTATAGTTTTTTTTACAATTGTGTGCTTTTTATTTATTAATGTTTTTTTTTTCTTCTTAGATTGACTAAGCAGCGCCTCCCCTTTGAATGCATTTGTTGATAAGAAAAAAAAAAGCAAACAAAAACAAAGACAACGTCACACGTTGACGGCTCATGCACAGTTATATATATATATATATGTACATATTGTCAACCAAGAAATACCTAAAGTTCGAACACGCTGCGAACAGCTGGTGCAAATCGCGGTCATCTATAGGTGGGCTCTCTTGACTGACTTGGGTCAACAACAGGATGTGCCCTTAGGGCATCAGTGGAGTGCACTTGGATGGGCTCTACTTATAAATAGAAGTCTTAAAGTCTGGCAATGTAGTAGGGCCCCGTCTCCATATATCAAGAAGAGAATACACTTCAAAAGATAAAGGTCTTGCTTGGCATCGATAGATAAGCTGTCTGCGCTTCCATAGATTGATCAGCTGAGGTGACTCTTGTACATAGATCATACAATAGAAATCGCTTTGGAAATACAATTCACAATTGGTAAGAGCTGGTTGGAACACTATCACAAATATAGGAGTTGCCATAATACGCCCACAAGGATGGCTCCCTTGGGGAGTACTCACAAAGGCCTCTCCATTTAATTTTCTAACAAACTGGAATATCCAGCAAACATCTCTACTAGTTTATTTACAAACAGGCGAACAGAAATTAGCAACAGGTAGCTGCATTAAAAATTATTTTCAGTGCTGCTCTGCGCCAATTCAATAACTTTCAGTGCTGCCAGTTTCTTAGTCAATTTAATTATTTTCAGTGCTGCCTATCACCAATTAATTATTCCAGGTGCTGCCCAGCGCTTACAATTAGTTTTGAAGTACTGCCCAGCGCCAATACGTTACTAAGTGCTGCCTGGTACCAACTTAATTCTTTTAATTTTTGAAGCTGGGAAGCACTTCATAACCTTTTGGCACTGGGCAGGACTTAAAGAACGTTAGGAGCTGGATAGCACTTCGAAAGTGATTGGCGCTGGGTAACACCTGGAAACCAATAGGCGTTGGCAGCATTGAAAATTATTAAATTGGCGCTGGGCAGCACTGGAATTATTTATGCAGCTGCCTGCTCTGCATTTCTGTTCGCCTGGTGTTTAATAATATTTGCGACTGCGAAAAAACTTGTTTGCTTTTGATATTTCGACTGGAACTGATTGATTTGTTTTGCGCTGGAGCTTGATCAAAAGTACCAAAAGCAAACCTGCACATATAGAGAATCTAAGAATATCCTATTATATATAATAATGACTTCTAGTCTTTGGGCTTAAAAGCTTTCTAGAGGATACTTTGCATTATTGCGCATATTTCGAAGGGAGTACATATACGGAAGTCGGTCGGGTCTGACTAATATATCAAATACATATATACCTGTCGATTAAAACGTGCTCTGGTCTACATATAGGCACTTGCGAGTTGTAGGTCGTAAAAGGTCGGCAAAGGGATGACACATAGCCGTAAAGCTAGTATGGATCTTGGGGTATAAACAGCATATTTAGCATGTATAAAGTAGCTGCAGTTGGGTCTTGAGTTATTGGATGAGATAGACAGACTGTTAGATTGTAGATTTATTGATAGATAGATAGAAAGATTTGTTGATAGCTCTTTGAATACGTCAAACAGCTTCCATTAGCTTTAGCTAGGCGATTGACAAATCGCATGAATTGTCGCTGTGCGTAAATTGTGTCAACCGTGCGACGCTTACGTCAGCCATACCCTATACATTCAAGCTGTATATATATCAAAAATATATATATATATTTAAATAGAAATTGAATATATATAGTATAGAGGATGACGACTTTGCACTTTGCACTTTGAGCTGCGCACATGGAAGTTTGCAGCAGTGCAACAGGCACCTGTTCATTGAGGCAAAATATAAACAGAAAAACTGTGTCGCAGTTGCACGAGTCCCATTCCATAAACTAATCAATTAATATAGCCATCATCAAAGCGTTGATAGAGCTACAAAAAAAAAAAATTAAGTCAACTTACAAGCGATAACCGGACTAGACACAAATCCAACAAAAAGGCGATAAGAAGTCGTGCTATAAAAGCAGCTGCTGCGGCCTGTCAGCTCAACAGAAACGTTTTCTTAGTCAAGCGCGACAAATGCTCTAAGCAAAAATACCGCAAAAATACCACGAAAATACTGCAAAAATACCACAAAAAATACCAAACAACCCCTATAGAGCCTGCTCTATAGAAACGCAACCCAACTGTGATAGCTACTCCAAGTACTTACAACAAATCCAGCACAAAAATATGTCGGCGGCAAACAAAGTGAATTATCTGGTTGGCTCGACGTCGCGCTTCATAGTCGGACGCAATGCCGTACAGACGGTCTATTGGAGGACCTCCGCCGGACCCGATTCCCGCATGCTGAAGACCAAAAAGACCTGTGAATTTGATCGCAGCCAAAAGGCGCCGCAAAGCGTGCGAATGCAGAGATCGAATCGCAGCTTCATCAGCAAAGAGTAGCTAAACAGCTGCCACGCCCCCTTTAATAATGTAGTTCCTATATTCACGCATTATACATATATATATATAAATTTTTTTTTACTAGTTGTATTTATTGTTAGCACCAAAGTTGAGCTGCCGTGAGGCGATGCCCTCACATTAAAAACCCAAAAACAAAACAAAAACCAAAACAAAAATAAAATGAAAAGAAAAAAATACTCATTTGTTTGCATTACTCAATGGAAACTGGGGCTAGGTACTGGGCACTGCTGATAGGGGGTCTCACGCTTATGCGTCATCCATCCCATTGGGCTGACGAACATGACATCAAAGCATGCCACGATCGGGCTAAATCAATGGATCTGACACAGTTAGATAGGCTGTGTGTGATGTGAACTTGAAAAGAAACCCGCTTCGAATCACAATTTTCTTAGCTAAATACTACGAAATACTATTTTGAATAAGGAAGCAAAAGTGTCTTCTTTTTCACAGTGAATTGATATGTTGACAATGGGCGGAAAATAAGTGAAAACTGGGTTAAATATTCGGAAGAATGAAGATTAAATGCCCATTTTGGTATTTTTCTTACGGTGAGTTGAGTTGACCAAAATAGTAAAGTTCGTAATTCTCATACTGTATTGAAAAACTAATAAAATTGTTAAGAAAAAAAAACTTATTTCTCGACCGATTCTTCCCACAATGTCGTTTTATACAGTACTCCTATTATATATATATATATATATATATAGTATTCCATATGATACGATTTTTCTCACATTTTTAATCTCGTAAGAATTCAGACATAAACGTTTGCAGTTGCTAGAAAATGAAAGATTATTGATCTGTGTATACTATTCCAGAAACTTTATGTTAAATTTGGGGGCAGTTAAACCTAAGACATTTGATCAAAAAACCTGATTTCGATATCGATTTTAAACGATTTCGTGGACACGTGGCAAGTTATCGATTATCGGAAACAAGCTCGTGCTGCGCGGACACTAGGTGGACCTACGTTCCAAATTTCAAGTCTGTAGCTCTAACAGGTTCTGAGATCGAAGCATTTATATATACAGAGGGACGGACAGATGGAAAGACGGACAGACAGACGGACATGGCTAGATCGACTCGGCTATTGATTTTGATAAAGAATATATATACATATATACTCTATGGGGTCGAAGGTGCTTTCTTCTGCCTTTTAAATACATTTGCCCTTTTTACCCATTTTCAATGGATTCAGGCGAAATGTAGCTTCAAACGAACCGAACATCAATCTTTATAGGTCTTACATCCTTTATTGATACCAAAAATTCTCTCCGACTGAGCTAGCAGAAGGCACATTGAACTATTTATAAAAAATGTATAAAACTTGCCGATTCCAACATTATTCTCTTCCAAGGTATTATTAGAGCTTGTCTTGAGTTAAAAAATTCAAGATTAATTAAACTCGACTTTTTATACCCTGAACCCATTAAAAAGAGGTAAACAGGGTATAATGTCCCCGCGCAGTTCGAGTTTGTTTCCGATATTCGATAACTTGCCCCGTTTCCAAGTAATCGATAAAAATCGATATCGAAATCCTGTTTTTTGAGCAATTTTGGTAAATAATAAGAGCTAGAGTCACCAAACTTGACATGTAGCTTCTGGAAAAGTATATATATATCAATAATCTTTCATTTTATAGCTATTGCCTACCTAATTAAGCCACAATTTAAATGCAATTGTCATTTTGAGAATACACGAATATTTTATAGTACAATAAGATCTACTACTGAAAATTTCATCAAGATCGGCTAAGAAACACGAAAGAAAATGTGTTTTCAGTTCAGGGTATCCCCTAGTCGGGAGCTCCCGACTAGAACCTCTTGTTACACAGTCAATTCACGTTAATATCATATAAAACTCACTTGAAATTCCTTTTTAATTATTTATGTATTTTTATTTAGTTTTATAATTATTACATACATTGAGTTCTCTCATATATATCATTTATTTATGTTTGTCGGATTTCTTTATTTATGGTTTGTTTACTCCATTTTTTTTTGCTGTCTGATTTTGTTTGTATGTATTTACCGTCGTTATGTATGTTGTGTGTTTGTGTTGCCTTTACGTTTAGGTTTTATAATTTCCTTTTAGATATCGATCGTACTTAATTTGTATAGTATTTAGCATTTAGTTAATATAATTCTTCTTGTCGTGGGTGAAATGTGTTTACGTTTTTTTACGTTTATTTTTCTGGTTTTTTTTTAATTATTTTTCCGTTTTTAAGTATCGTATTTTAATCGTTTACTTAAAATTACAGCCTTTATAAATAATTATTTTTTGCCTTTCCTTAAGTTTAGACTTTTCCATATTTTTGTTTGTTTTCTTTTAATTTAATATGTTTTTGCTTTATACTTCATATTTCGCTTGCCGTTGTACTACGTATCCGTATTTTTTTTTTCTTTAACCTTTAACCTTTAACCTTTCTTTATAATTGTTACTAAATATATGTATGTATATAGAGACCTTTTATGTTTTTTTTTTCGGCATCATATTTGATGTATTTTGAATAATTTGCACACATGTATAATATATATATATATATATATATATGTATATATATATAATAGTTATCTAAATATATATTCATATAGATTTCATATTTGACAATTTCAGTTGGGCTTAGTGTCTGGCTTTGCTTTTGTTGTGTAGTGTAGTTGTAGTGTAGTTTTTTTTATTAATTATTTATTTATTTTGCACACGGAAGTTTTTGACTTGTACACATAAAAACCACGGAAAAAGTACACACAAAATGTTTGACGTCTTTTTTTTTTAGTTTTTTGAAGATTTCTTTTTTCTTTTAATTTTCTTTGGTTTTTGATGCTTGGAATATGTTTTTCTATATTTGTTTTTCTATGCCACATTTTCTTTTCTCTTTCTTTTTTTATAAGTATATTTTCTTTTCTTTTTTTGCCTAACTCAATTCACACATCGAAAACAGTTTGCATTTCGTTGATCTCAAAAGAGAAAAATATATATTAATAATTATTTGTAATATTTGTATTCATAATATATAATATATATCATTTTTTTTGTTTACTTTTTGGTTTTTGATTAAAAAATATTGCAGCTCAAAATTGTAATACCTTTGTTTATTATTATTATTATTATTCCTTTTGCTCTTCTAGATCTTTTAGACAGTTTGTATATTTATGATGATATTTGTATTATTATTATTATTTTTTCTTTTTATAATTTTGTGTTTAAACCAGAACCTAAACCTGAACTTGATCTGTGTCTTTTATTGTATGCAAGTGTTGGGCTGAATTTCTCATATGTATTACGTATTTCATGTCGCTCTACTTTATGCTGCTCGTATTAATACTCTATATATATATATGTATATCTTATGTGTTTGTAGTTGTTGTAGTTGTAGTTGTTGTATATATAGACTCTTATCGTGTGGTAAATTTTTAGCTAGAGCTTTTCGATTTGTTGTACGGAAGAATTTGGATACATTTCAATATTTGTTATCTTCGTGTGTTTTTTTTAGCTAAAAGTTATCATTTATCTAGAAGTTTTTCCTTTAGCTAATCTTTGCTACTTTTAACTGGGCGCCTAACATGTGTGTGTGCGTGTGTGTGTGTGTGTGTGTGTGTATCTTCAGCTATGTATCTAAGATGTAGTTTGCAAATTTGCTTCAGCTGCACAGTTTGCAATTTCTAAATACAAATTCAGGCTAAGGAAATATTCGCTTTGATTTAGGTGGAAAATGGGAGAGGAAAATTCAATTTAATCGTTTGCAGAATTTTGCACTTAATTTGTCAGCAGAAGGCAAACGAAATATTTCAGTTAAAAAAAATATATATGCAACTAAATGGTTCACCTAGAAAAAACCAGTGTTAATAAATTCCATATATATTTTGGTTTTCGTATATGACTAAAAATACTCAACAACAATTGTTTTTCGTTTACTTGAAACCATTTTTAGCTACAATTTATATGTTCTATATTTGTTTATATATATATATATATACTAATATCGTTTAAATATTTTTCTATGCATTCCGACGCAACATGAAAGAAAAAACACGCGTTTTCCAACACTCAAATCATAGTTTTTTTTGCCTTTCTCGTTGCTTTCACCATTTGCCATATGTTTGTTGTAGTTGTTGTTGTTGTTGTTGTTGTTGTTGTTGTTGCCAGACCCGAAATTGATACGATATCGAAATTGTCTTGTATATATATATACTAAATCTGTGTGTAGAAGGTTCTCAAAAATGCTTTCGCTGACACAGTAATGATCCAAAAAAGAACGTGTGTTTTATATCAAAAGCAAAAAATGAAACTTTCTGGATTTTTGAGGGGGGAGGGGGGGGTGGTAGGATCTATTGTTATTCGAACTAAAACTAAACAACGTTTAATACAAATACGAATTCTAGCCCTAAACTGTGAATCGCTCTATTACAGCTATCTCGCTCTAATGTAATGCACCTGTGAGTGTGTTTTTCTTATCTACTCTTCTCTCAACTATTCTCAGCTATTCTCAACTATTCTCAGCTATTCTCAGCTATTCTCTTCTATTTGTTGTAGAGTTCGTTGCACGTTGTTTATTGTATTTTGTTGTATGTATTTCTCAGCTAAATCTTGATTCGCTAATTCGCTATAATTCATATGCATGTTGATTCAATTGATTCAATGATTCAATCAGTATTCAATTCATTATTCACTCTTACAATATATAATAACGACAGCTGCGAAATGACATGAATGTGTCTGAGTGTGTGTGTGTGTGTGTGTGTGTGAGAGTGTGTGTTGGTTGTGTGTGTATTTATCAATCACATTTTCTTCTGTGTATGCTTTTTTTCACTATCATAATATTGCTCTATTATAATATCATTATTATTTTTGATATCTTTAATCAATTGAAAATTTGATGCTGCCTTTCATTTTGCGATTCGACTAATAAGTACAATATCATAAAAATAACACTGTATATTTATGTTTTGTTCTGTACCATTGTTGTAAATATAAATATATATATATATATAATATACACATATATTTATATATATATCTCAGGTTTTCCATTTCTATAACCATATATATATATATATAAAACGCGCTCGCGACTTGCCCGAAGGAAACAAAAAAAAACCAATTCCAAATCAAATTTTCAACTATCCCCCCCCCTCCCCAAACCCCCTCTGCCACCCCCCTCGGTTGTTGCCTGTGT